TCTGGGCCCACTCGGTAGGACATCATCATATGCGCAATGTGACCAAGGAGTTGATCACGGGATGATGTGTTACGGAACGAGTAAAGTGACTTGCCAGTAACGAGATTGAACAAGGTATCGGTATACCGACAATCGAATCTCGGGCAAGTAACATACCGATCGACAAAGGGAATTGAATACGGGATCGATTGAGTCCTTGACATCATGGTTCATCTGATGAGATCATCGTGGAACATGTGGGAGCCAACATGGGTATCCAGATCCCGCTGTTGGTTATTGACTGGAGAACGTCTCGGTCATGTCTGCATGTCTCCCGAACCCGTAGGGTCTACACACTTAAGGTTCGATGACGCTAGGGTTATAAAGGAAGCTTGTATGTGGTTACCGAATGTTGTTCGGAGTCCCGGATGAGATCCCGGACGTCACGAGGAGTTCCGGAATGGTCCGGAGGTAAAGATTTATATATGGGAAGTCCTGTTTTGGACACCGGAAGAGTTTCGGGGTTTATCGGTATTGTACCGGGACCACCGGGAGGGTCCCGGGGGTCCACCAAGTGGGGCCACCTGCCCCAGAAGGTTGCGTGGGCCAAGTGTGGGAGGGGACCAGCCCCTAGGTGGGCTGGTGCGCCCCCCACAAGGTGCCAAGGCGCAAGGGAGAGTGGGAGGGGGCAAACCCTAGTCCAGATGGGCCTTAAGGCCCACCTAGTGGGCGCCTCCCCCTCCTGGCCGCCGCCCCCTTTGCCATCTAGGGCTGGCCGCACCCCTTGGGGGAGGGAAACCCTAAAGGGGGCGCAGCCCTCCCTTTCCCCTATATATATGAGGCCTAGGGGCTGCCCATAACACGCGATTTGATCTCTCGTTGGTGCAGCCCTGCCCCTCTCCCTCCTCCTCTTCTCCCATGGTGCTTGGCGAAGCCCTGTGGGATTGCCACGCTCCTCCACCACCACCACGCCGTTATGCTGCTGTTGGATGGAGTCTTCCTCAACCTCTCCCTCTCTCCTTGCTGGATCAAGGCGTGGGAGACGTCACCGGGCTGTACGTGTGTTGAACGCGGAGGTGCCGTCCGTTCGGCACTTGATCATCGGTGATCTGAATCACGACGAGTACGACTCCATCAACCCCGTTCACTTGAACGCTTCCGCTTAGCGATCTACAAGGGTATGTAGATGCACTCTGCTTCTACTCGTTGCTGGTCTCTCCATAGATAGATCTTGGTGTTGCGTAGGAAAATTTTTGAATTTCTGCTACGTTCCCCAACAGTTATATGATCTATCTATGTTATTATTGTTGAGAGAACTTGCACTAGTGAAAGTCTGAACCCTATGCCTTGTTTTCTACCATTGCAATACCACTTACGCTCACTTTTATCTTTAGTTATTTTGCTGTTTTTATAATTTCAGATTACAAAAACCTATATCTATTATCCATATTGCACTTGTATCACCATCTCTTCGCCGAACTAGTGCACCTATACAATTTACCATTGTATTGGGTGTGTTGGGGACATAAGAGACTCTTTGTTATTTGGTTGCAGGGTTGTTTGAGAGAGACCATCTTCATCCCATGCCTCCTACGGATTGATAAACCTTAGGTCATGCACTTGAGGGAAATTTGCTACTGTCCTACAAACCTGTGCACTTGCAGGCCCAACAACGTCTACAAGAAGAAGGTTGTGTAATAGACATCAGAGTGCACGATTGCGAGGCAGCGGGCACGCATCACCACACTCAAGGATGGAGACGCCAACACGACATTCTTCCTTCGACAGTGCTCTTTCCGCCGGTAGAAGAATCACATCCACAGCCTAACCGTGGATGGACATGTGATTGCGGATCAGGAGGGGATGGTGCAGGCGGCTTTCTCTCACTTTGACGAGCTGGTGGGCTCGGCCCTCGCCCGTGGCCACTCGCTGGACCTATCGCAGCTCATACAGCCTTGCGACATGACATGCCTCGATGCCCCATTCAAACCCGAGGAGATATGGGACACCGTAAAATGCCTCCCGGCACGCAAGGCGCCTGGGCCCGACGGATTTACAGCTGAGTTCTTGTGGGCATGTTGGAGCACGGTCAAACAGGAATTCCTGGACATCTTCCAGCAACTCTTTCAGGTGCGCAGTCGCGGCTTCAGTAAGCTTAACCAGGCCCTTTGACCCTGCTCCCAAAGCGCGCCGATGCCTGCCAGCTCCGCGACTACCGTCCGATATGCCTGATACACCTCGTGGCCAAAATCTTCACAAAAGTGCTCTCGCTATGCCTCACGCCAACGTTGGGCGACCTGGTTAGTTGCAACCAGAATGCATTCATCCTAGGCCGGAGCCTCCACGACAATTTTGTCCTGGTCAGGCAATCCATGAAGCTGCTGCACCAACTTGGGGCCCCAAGTGTCATGCTCAAACTTGACCTCACGTGAGCCTTCGGCTCCCTATCCTAGCCCTTCCTCTTCGAGGTGTTGGACCAGTATGGGTTCGGGCCTCGGTTCCGGGAGTGGTTTGCAATACTACTTTCGACCTCAAGCACCAGGATCATGCTGAACGGCGAGCCAGGGCCACCGATATGGCACCAATGCGGACTGCGATAGGGCGACCCCGTGTCCCCACAACTCTTTGTGCTCGCCATGGACACCCCCGGACGCCTCGTCCGCCACGCCCATGACTCCGGCATCTTGCAACAGCTGCATCCCCGACGAGCCATTCCGGCCATCTCCTTATATTCCGACGATGTGATGCTCTTCTGCCACGCCACACCTGGAGACATGGAGGCCGTCAAGGGCATCCTAACACTCTTCGGTGAAGCTAGCGGCCTCCGAGTGAACTACGCCAAGAGCTCGGCCACCATCCTCCACGGCGACCCCGACGCGGCCGCGACGATTGCCCATGTAGGATGCAAGACAGCCGACCTGCCCATCACCTACCTCGGCATCCCGCTAACGTTGCACTGCCCCACTGCCGCCCAACTACAACCCCTCGTAGATTCAGTGGCTGCCAGGCTCCCAACTTGGAAAGCATGGCTCATGAACAAGGCTGGACGACTCGCATTGGTCAGAGCGGTGCTCGAGGCCATCCCGGTTCACCAACTGCTCGCATTCGCGCACCCCCCCCCAAGAAGACCCTAAAGCAGCTGGAGAAGATACAACGGGGCTTCCTATGGGCTGGACGTGCAACTGCCAACGGTGGGCACTGCCATGTCAACTGGCGCCATGTTTGTCGTCCACTGGAATATGGCAACTTGGGGATACGGGACCTAGAGCGCGCTAGTCTGGCACTAAGGTTGCGATGGCTATGGTACACCCGCACTGACGACAATCGCGCATGGCAAGGGCTCGACCTGCAGTTCACTCCCGAGGAGCGCGCGTTGTTCTTCGCCTCCACAACCATGGTCCTCGATGACAGATTGACGACCGTGTTCTGGGTCGACCGCTGGCTCCAGGGGCAATCCATCCACGAGATCGCCCCTGCGCTTTACCAGTGCATACCCAAAAGGAGGCGCAAAGCGAGAACAGCCGCGGAGGCCCCTAACGGGCAATGCTTGGGCACGCGACATCCAGGGAGTGCTCGGGATACATGAAATTGGGCAATACCTGATGCTTTGGCAGGCCGTACAGTGCATCACTCTCACAAACGAGCCTGACCAAATGCTCTGGAGGTGGACGGCCAACAGCACCTACACGGCACAGTCCTGCTATGTTGCGACCTTTCATGGATCCGCAAGATGCCCCTCATGGAAGCTGACATGGAAGAGCTGGGCACCACCCAGAGTCTGGCTCTTCCATTGGCTAGCCAGCCAGGACCGGTACTAGACAGCAGAACGGCTGGCCCGACGCGGCCTGCAGCACCACCCCAGATGCCTCCTCTGCGATCAAGCGTCGGAGACCATCCAACACCTGCTCCTGGCCTGCCCATTCGTGCGGCAAACCTGGCATGCCATCCTGGACTGGACACGCATTCCAGTGCATCCACCACACAATGAGCCCTCACTTACAGACTGGTGGCAGCGAACGAAGGGGCGGACACCGCACGCGCTTCGCAAAGGATTGCAGTCCATAGCCATGCTAGTCCCTTGGATGATCTGGAAGCAGCAGAATGAATGCGTCTTCGACAACGCGCGACCATCAATAGAAGCATTAGTGGATAGGATTAAAACTGAAGCCAAATGTTGGGCACAAGCCAGGGCACAGGGGCTCAGGGTAGTCCTTCCCACATCCTGGGACGTCCACTAATCGAGAGCACAACCTTTGTAATCCTAGCCTCCTAGGAGGATTGTACTATCCCTTCTCTTCAATGCAATGGAACGCAAAGATCTTTGCGTTTCCTCGGAAAAAAACTCTCAACGAAAACTGTTGAGGTCCCCTATACTTGTGTGCTATAAAAAAAGTGCACCACGCGAGAGAAGGCGAGGATAGGCTAGAATGTGAAAGCAAGGCTAGGGGCAAAGGTGGCTACCAAAGGCCACAATTATTTGTCTTTTCTTCAAAAAATGGGTTTTTTAGGACATAATACATCCCAATTTGTAGGTTGAGCTAAATCTACCACAACATGAAATCCAATGGTCAAAATTGCTGATGGTTGGTAGGCATTTGTCGCTTGACTTCTCGGACCGGCCTCATCAACAATGCCAGCCCATTCCAGATCAAGCCAAATATTATGATACCACAAAGGGGTGTGGTCAACAATCATCAAATCATTCAGAAAAAGCCAAATTTGTGATGGGATAGTGGTTTGTAAATGAGTCACACAATAAATATGTATGAGCTGTTCACTTGTTGACTCCAAATCTTTAGTTAGTACTAATATTAAGGAGTAACTGAAATGAAATTAAATGTAGACATTTATCATCCAGAAATATAATATAATAGCTCTTGTGAACCCCTCCATACCCATACCAATCTCGTGCCCTCTTACCTTTTCTATATAGTGGGTTCAACTGTTCCTTCATTGCCTCACTTTTGTTAGTATTTTCCTCTTGGTTCTCTGTGAGATTCGTATTTGGCAAGGAGAGGGAGATGCATATCGACGGTAATATGACTTCGTGTTTTTCCTTATTCACTCTAATTTTGGTTTAGATGTAGTCCATTCAATCATTTCCCTGTTTTGACCTTAGAAAAGGGCATCTCCTTGCATCTGCAGATGCACACAAATCGTTATTACGAGGGCTTAATCATTCGGGTATTATGTTCATATGAGTACTACATGATCATAGTCTTTATTTGTGCTCGTCGATTTGGTATTGTATTTTCACATCCTTGAGACCTAAAGCTTGCAATTTATGGTACCCAATTCCTCCTACAAAATCGAAATAAATCATGGGCACTGGGTGAAGGAGCAAGGCATATAGTTTTTCATTCTTTCTCTACTGTATATTTACTTATTTAGTTTAGACCCTCATCGGATTGAAGGAAATCCATAGGTGTTTTGGAGGCTTATAATCTACTCCCTCCCTCCGAAATATTTGCCATCAAAATATTTCCGGACGGAGGGAGTATATCACTTGTGTTATAGGAATCTCAACATGAGGTCAGACATCAATTTTTTTAGAAGTCCCATGCACTACATATATCTCTCTCTACTTCCTCTTACCATTCCTCTAAAATTCATCTGTTTCCTGTGCGTCATCCAAAGCCTTCTCTTACAAAATTTCCTTTCGAAATTCTGTTGAAAATTCACATTATGTGGCATCTTTGATTCCGTGTTTTTCTTATGCCTATGTTTTTAATTTCCTCCAATCCAAAGAGGCCCTAGAATTGAAGGAGCAAGGTATCTAGAGAGAGAGAGAGAGACACGTTCTCCCTTCGGTGATGTTATCTGGCGACTTCCCTTCTCTTGGCAGTTTCACGGTCGTCGATGAGTTGGGGCACGAAGATCCTCATATTTAGACCATGTGTATTCTAGGCTTAGGTCTCAGCCAGTCGAGTTTTGGGTCGGTTGTGGTGTGGCTACAACAACACTGTTTGGCGATAACGAGTAAGTGTGTCACACACACACTCTCTTGATATGCTGGTCATCTTCCTCACCAGTGCGGATCTTAGAGCTCGTGTGCGCGCCCCATGAATCTTGGATCTGACGCTCATTTTAGTCTCCTAGAAGGCAGCGCTCGGTTGCAATAGTGGCGTTGAAATGAGTCCCAAGTAAAGGTTGACCGTCTTCTTTTGCTCCTTTAATGGGCGCGTCGTTCCGTCCATAATTTCATTCTCTTTTTTCATAGGGTTCGACGTCTTCCTAGCTGGCTATATGGATCTTACTTTCTTAGTTTAGCGGCGGCACAACTTTAGTGTTGATGTCTTCAATGCTTCATCGACGCGTGCGAGACAGAAAAACAGAGGATTTCCCGAGGATTTTGTTTTCTTCATAGCTATTTTGAGACGGTGGGTACGCATCCCCTTTTTCTTAGCTTTTGGCTTTTAATCTTCATATCTTTTAAACCAAAAAATCTAAATTTTGTTTCGTTTGCATATTCGTGTTTCTGGCGATGACAACTTTCAATTGAGATCCATTTTGAATATGTTTAAACAATTTTTTTAAAAACTTTGTTAAGTTTAAACTTTTGAAATTTGTACGAGTGACCAACAAAAATGTAATTTTCAAATTTTCAACTGACAATTCCTGAAACTTAGTATGAACGACAAACAAAATAGTAAAACTAATAAGTTTTAGAATCTGCTACCGATAAAACTGTAATTTTTATAAGCTAAAACTTAAAACTTAGGACAACGCTAACGCCCACACGTGTGGAGGAAGCCAAACACACCCACGCGCCCTATAACATAGAATACGCCATGTCACCGCATGCATGTATGTGGAATTTTTTTTTGGATTTTCAGTTTTTAAAATGTTTTATCTCTTAAATGAAAAATTCGATTGAAGATCTGTTTTTACCATTAAATCCCTCACGACGAGATCTTCAAAACTAGATCTCATATCAATATATTTCGATGAGTTTTTTTTTTGGTTAAAAGTTGCCATGTTTATTGCACATGAATTGCCATGATGTTTACACTAAAGTTGCCATGTTATGTTTCACCTATTTTCTTCCATATTAAAAAATAAATTTTGACATATTATAAAATGAAGAATTAAGAAACTAGACTTGCCATGCACCATAAATTAAAATTATCATGATACATGCACTTAAAATTGCCATGGTTCATGCAAAAAAATATTTTCATGGTCAAAGTACTGGAATTGTCATCATCAAAAACTAAAATTGCCATGACCTACAAACTAAAATTGTCACATGGCAACTTTAGTTTAAGCCCCATGGCAACTACAGTGTAAACATCATGGCAACTTTTGGACAAAAAAGTTTTTTCGTCGAAACATACCAACATTGGTCTAGTTTTGAAGATCTCGTCGAGACGGATTTAATGGTGAAAATGAATTTTTAATTCGCTTTTTAATTAGGAGATAAAATATTTTTAAGCCAAAAACCAAAAAAAATTCTGCTGATGTCATCTGTTTATACGTGACAAAATGAGTGGTAATGAAGGCGTATGGTCGATGTGCAAACGGCCACACGTGTGGATGTTAGTTTTTCCGAAAACTTATTATGCTCTCGTGTGAGACCACGACGGCTGTGGCTGTGGAGGTGCATGCCCGGAGTTTCTGATGACTCGACCCGACTCTTCGAAGAAAAATAACTTCCTGAAATCATTTCCTCCCCGTTCTCTCTCCGTCTAGACTTTTAATCTCCTTACCCTTAACTTCCATGCCCCTCTCTAATTCCCATGAACCAAACACCCTGTAAGAGGAAACGATAATGGGGGGAGGGGCCATGATCTGCATTGCGGCCGCCCCACCATCCGTCGCGATATGCGCTGCGGCCTCCGCCATCGGCGCCGTCCAACAGGGCTGCCGCCATCCGTGGCCCCGCCGTCGACCGGCCCGGCCACCGCCTCCATGACCACCTTGGCTCAGCCCCTTCTCGTGCACAAGGTCTCCTCTTGCCCAGCGACCACATAGGTGAATGTTCGCTGCTGCCTTTTCGGTTCTTGTTCGTGCCTATTCCCCTCTCCATCGGTTCAGTATTGAGCTGGTCTTCTTTTTTCTGATCGGTTCATGTCCAATTCCGTACGGCAGCCAAAAAGAAATTGAAATCGAGATGAGTCGAATACAAATCCTATTTGAACCAAGTGAATCAATCTAATTCAATTCTATGGAGGAAACGAGGTGGCAGTTGTCACTTCGTCAAAGTTATAGGTTACCTGTAGGATTTGCACACCAAGTTGTTTCATTGTGGGGGTGGACGAGGAATGAGAGAGAAATGAGGACAGAAAGATGAGGGAAGAATGAGATGAGCATGATGCTAGTGTTTCTAGACACTTAAACACGAAGGGTAGGTCATAGGTGGATAAATGACCATGAAGCGGAGGTTCAGGGTAGACATTTGAGGTACTCAGTGTTCAAGATTCGCGTTTGACTCCAAAACTGAGCCTTTTATTGATGTGTTGCTCATGTGGAGGACATTGGACATCGACTCCATATCGTCCCTATCCATCCCGATCACTGTTGTTAGAGCCGTGGCAGTGGAAGGCCTTCTTCCCAATTCCCACCCTTTCCATTCGATGGTTTTGGAGGAAGCACATCATTCGAATCCATTTGGCGCCTAGAGCTGGTCTACACGTTGGCACAATGGCTCCAGCAAACCTTTAATCCATCTGCCAATCGATTCCTCTGATAGATCCTTAATATAGTCCTATAAGTGGATACATCCGGCGACAATTATGTGAGCTTATCTCTTCTTATCCTTTGTCGTCTTCACAACATAGCTTGTATTCTCATAGTGTTGATCTTCAAGGGCATGGTGGTGAGGCTTGGTCATTGTTGGCTACTGAACGTATGAAAAAATTGTTATATATTTCTTGGTTTGCTTTTGCTGACAGTTTTTTTGGACCCTCTTCTCTGGCGAACGTTCGTTAGGGGTGTGGCAATTGCGAATGTTTTCTTTGGCAATTTTAGTTGTAAGGGGTGGCAATTTCTTCAGACTAAGCATGGCAATTCCTTCCTAGAGAAGGCAAATTTTTAGAAAACTGCCATCATTTGATCGATCTCGATCAAACGGCTGCGAGGGCGTTCGTTGGGGGTTCCTTCCTAGGGAAAGTTTGCCGGTTATCATTACCCTTTTTTTGGGGTCTTTTGCTGCTTTTAACAACATTTGTGTCAATGGGTGCCTAAGCACGCTTAAGCTTTTCTTTTTTAAATTTGGCCAGAGTTTGGCTGTTTTTGAATAATGTGCACAGGAAAATAGGAAAGATAGCACATAGGTAATTGAAATAGCATCTAAAATGCATTTCAGACCATAGCAAAATACACATCAAGTTCACACAGCAAGCAAAATAACAACTAAAATGCTGCTCAGTTCAAATAGACATAGCCTAATATCATGTGGCCAGAATCTTAAGGAAATAGTTCCTGAACAGACCTAATAAAGGCATATGGCCATT